AAGTCCACACACAGTTCACACACAGTCCACACACAGTCTACATACAGTCCACACATAGTCTGCCCATAGTCCACACCAAGTCCACACACAGTTCATACACAGTCCCCCCACAGTTCACACAGTCTGCCCACAGTCCACACACAGTCCACACACACTCAGTCAATACCCAGTTCACATATAATCCACCCACAGTCCTGTGGGAGCCCGCTCTCAGGTTCTTCGTGGCTTTACCCAGCAGGTCCAAATAGAGGATGATCAGGACCACGGGCCTGAGTGCAGGTGTCTGAGATGGTCTGCACTTGGCTGTGCTGGGGGAGGAGTCTTTTGCTCCAACCCTTGGTGTCTCTATAAAAACCCTGGGGCAGAGACAGTAGGGGCCCGTTGGAATAGGTTCCAGGCCCTCTCGAGGCTATCCTTTATTTTCTATCTGTTTATCTCCACAAGATTCTCCGCTATAAATCCTTCTATCTAATATTTCCTGCGGCTTGCACTCAAGAAAACTCTGGGGAGCTGTAGGGGTGGTGGGTAAACGCCCCACACAGTCCACACACACAGTCTGCACCCAGTTCACACACACACACACTCCCAGTCTACACACAGTCCACACACAGTCCACCCACAGTCCATATACACAGTCTGCACTCAGTTCACACACAGTCCCCCTACAGTTCACACACAGTCTGCACTCAGTTTACACACAGTCCACCCACAGTCCTCCCACAATCCACTCACAGTCCACACACAGTCCACACACAGTCCACTCGCAGTCCACACACAGTCTGCCCACAGTCCACTCACAGTCCACACACAGTCCACACACACTCTGCTCATAGTCTGACCACAGTCCACACACAGCCCCTGATCCAGGATCATGCCTTTTGTGGTATATTCATAAACAGTATTTGTAAGCAGTAACTCACTTTTAGCTAGTTACTTGTAGTGGGACCTGCTGAGTCCTGTAGCAAGTGGACTTGAAACTTTTTAGAAAGTGGAAGAATGATTTTCCTAAGAGAATGTTCTACTCTGAGTTCCCACATACGATACTTAAAATTGCTTTGCAAATCCAACACAAAGTCAAACATATAACCTACACCTTTCTTTTACCTTTACTATTTAGACTTCTTAACTATCATTTACTAGTTGCCCAGAGTTTAAAAATCTTTGATTAACTGCCTAATAATCTCAAACCACTTTGACATAGTGAGCAGATGCTCCATGGGAACACTCCTGTAGTCACCACTGCGGTTAGCACTTTTTTACCCACGTGCAAGGAGAAAGAAGATAACACTGTGTACTCCATTTCAACTCTCTTTATTTCCCTTGCCAAATACCTGCCGATCATCATAGTTCTTGTATTTTAATTCTGCTTTCTGTAGTTGATGCTTTGTTTCCTTAGTCTATGAAGGATTAAACTTAGGTCTCTGCATGCTAGGCATGTGCTGACCCACACCCCTGCCCTGTGTGCATGCTAGCAAGTACTCTACCATTGAGCCACACCCCTGCCTTGTATACATGCTAGGCAAGCACTCCATCCCTGAGCCACACCCCTGCCCTGTGTTCATGCTAGGCAAGCACTCCATCCCTGAGCCACATTCTAGCCCTCATGTCACATTTCTCATACCTGAAAGCCTTCCTTTACCATTTCTTACAATCCGGATCTAAGAATGGATTCTTTTAGCTGCTATTTGCCCAGGAAAGGCTTTATATCTCATTAGTTTTTTTTATCATTTTTGTGTATATGAATTGTCATGTGTGCACCCCAGCACATGGGGAAGTGAGATGACTAATTATAAGAGCCGGTTCTCTCCCTCCACCATGCGGTTTCCAGGTAATGGCCCCTGTCATCATGTGGGGCAGCAGACATTTCTGTCCACAGAACCATCTTGCTGGCCCTCTCATTCAATTTTGACATATATTTCCAGGGTATGAAATTCTAACGAGATTTTTCTCTTTAATTTCTTTAAAGACACTACTTTATTGTCTTTCCATTATTAAATATTAGTTCAATCACAGATGATTATAGTATATGTATCTGTATTTTCAATACATATGACAGCTCAACATTTGGACACTATAAATTTTGCTGTGGATGGCAACAGATGAGCAATTTATTTAACCAGCCATAAAAACATATCTGAACTATGCAGGGGCCCTTTTGTTCTCGGAATAATAGACATTGGTGGTGAGACGTGTTAATCATGCATGATTCTAAGCAGGTGTCCATTAAATGAGAATGTGATTTCCTTCCTTATTTCCAAGTATAAAAGAAATTCATTGTATATCTCCCAACAAATAAGCTGGTAAGACTCACAGCTGAAACTGGCTTCTGGGACTTGTGAACATGAGATGTAGAACCAATTGGTCTATGCTTCTCAATCCACATGCTGCTCAAGTCAGAATGCAACACTATGAACTGCAAGGCTGTAGACGGCTGCCAGCCTGCGGTCAGTGGGGATTCGTGCATGTCCTGAAGCCAGTTACCCTTCTCTGGGCTTCCCGGTATATATTTTACCTGTTTTTTTCTTTCTAGAATTCTTAATCTGGGAGGTCTCAGTCCCTCAGTTAGCCACAACCAGACACGTTTAGCTGAAATTTCTTTGGCAAATAATTCTAGAGTCATTCACAGCTCCTGATCTCTTTCCCGTCCTCAGCTATCAGCAGCAGGCACTCCCTGTAGGAAGGCTGTTGACCCGGAGTGTGATTTCACAGAATATTGCAGTGGATCCTCTAACCAGTGTGTCCCCGACACCTTTGCCCTGAATGGCCATTTGTGCAGGTTGGGATCCGCCTATTGCTACAACGGACGATGCCAAGCCCTTAATGACCAGTGTGTCAACTTATTTGGAAAAGGTACTGCTTTCTTTTGCATTTGTGTTGTACTTGGATTGCTCTGTAGGGTCCATATTACAGTCCATCGAGCCTAGATGAGGAAGAGCTTGGGTCACAATTTTAAGAAGGTGTAAATTAAAGGAAAAAAATTTATAGTCATGATTGAAATCTTCCAAGAAAAATGCTAGGTAGGTTTGATTTGAGAAAATATGTTGCTTATTTATTCTAAATTATATTAAAATATGAATAGCAAATAAGTGGATCGTGACACCTTAATTTCCTATTATCCACCACATTCATAATTCAGTATTGAAGCCATGCACCTTACAAAGCTTAGAGTGAATGTCATTCACACGTGACCTCTTTTCTGACCGAGGAAATGGCAGTGTAAGAGCAGCCATGGGCTACCTGGCCAGAACTCCTGCTTCTGAGTTTTGACAGGTTTTGCTTGTTTGAGATAGTCTCCTTACATAGCCCAGGCTGACTTGGAACTCAGCATCCTCCTGTCTTAGCCTTGTTCACATTTTTTGTTTCAAATAACATTTTAGAGAAATCCAGATAAGACCTCTGCATGTCTGCTGGTGTTCTTAGTTTGCCCCAATATGATTATCCACATGTTGAGTGATTGAAATAATTTGAATACATAACAAATTAACAGTGCAATGTTAGAAATCAGAGCAATGGGTTTGGGAAAGGAGCTAACAGGAAATACCCTTCAGGATGAGCAAAGAACCTCATGGACATGTGGGCTACGACTGGGCTTTGAGGTGGGAGAACAGTTAGGATGGATAGAGCTTCCTATCTGAGACAACATGGCTGGACTTTAAAGGAAAAGCTTGGCTTCCAATTAAAACCTGGATAGGAACTCCCTTAAGAGAGAGCTCAAAGTAAGAGAATAAGAAAAATCTGTCATAGTCAACATGATGGGTAGCCTGAAGTGGGGAGGGAGCCTTCAGAAAAATCCCCCAGACAAAGTGGGAATGGGTATATGCACAAGCCATTAGGAGTCTATTTAATGAGAGCAATAGGCTCTCCCCCAAGGAATATGACCTGTCTAGCCATAGGTTCGTATCCCAAATTACAGTACCAGGCATGTGTTCCAGCTAATGGGATTGACCTTACATCCAAATAGAAAGTGGTTGGTTACTCCCATGACATTTGTACCACTAATGCACCCGTGGCCATGTCTTTCCAGGCCATTATAATTGTAGAGTGCAGGTTCACAGATGGATAAGTATTTTGACTCCTTTCTGCTCTGGTGACATGCATATCATGTACTAGCACCGTTAAAGCTAGCCAGTATGGATGAAACTTCCAGATCAGTACTAGCTTGGTAGCATCTTCAGCAACAGGATCTTCCCGTTAAGTTCTGTTCTGGAAAGTAACCAAGAACATTGACATTAATCTGTAATGTTTGGGAATCTATAGGGCCCCACTGACCAAGAGATAACCAATTCCTGACACCGGACAAATAAGAGAAAACATACAGCATTGCTGTCTGGGTCTAAATTACATCATTTAGTATATTTTCTAGATCCATCCATTTAACTGCAAACTTCATGATTTCATTTTTTACATTTTAATGTAGTTATGTTGTGTATATGTACCACATTTTCACTATCCATTATTCTGTTGGGAGAACATTTAGGTTGTTTCTGCTTCCTAATCATGATGAATATGACTAGAGCAGCAAAGAACATGACTGAGCAAGTTTCTGTGGAGTAAAATGTGAAGTTTTGAGGCATATGTCAAGGAGTAGGATGGCTGGGTCACACAGCAGATCTACTTTTAAATTCTTGAGAATTCTCCACACAGATTTCCAGCAAACAGCTAGAGCAGTTTGCAAGCTACCAACAGTGAATGAGGGTTCCTTTTCCCCACATCCTCTCTAGATGAGTTCTCAGTTGCCTTCTTGATCTTGACCGTTCTGACTTGGGTAACATGAAATCTCAAAGCATTTTTAATTTGTATTTTCCTAACTACTAGGCACGTTGAACACTTTTTTTTAAAGACATTTCTTACCCATTTTTATTTCTCCTGTTAAGAACGTTGCATTCAGATCTGCAGCTAATTTTTTAACTGGGAAATTTTGCTTTATAACTTTGTTTTGGGGTTCTTGATTCGGGATAGTCGTCCTCTGTCGGATGTGTAGTTGGCAAAGGCTCCCTCCCTTTCCACAGGCTTGCTTCTTTATCTATGCTGAAGCCTTCTGGTTTTATGAGATTCCACGTGTAAATTTCTAAGCAAACGGGGTCCTAATCAGAAAGCCCTTCCATAAACCTCTCTCCTATAGGGATTGCCTAGATTTTCTTCCAGCAGTTTCAGTGTTTGATGTTTCACATGTAGACCTTCAATCCATTTGGAGTTAGTTTTTGTAAAAGGAATAGATACAGTGTAGACGAATTTCTAAACAGTATTATTAAATAAGAAACACAGAGCCAAATACAGAGGTGCAAGCTGTAGAGATCAGAGCAACATCTGCCAACTAACCTTAGCTCACCACAAGAGAGCCTCTTCCTGTCTAACCTGTACCTTTATTGCCTTTTTGTTCTGCCTTCTCATTGGCTCTTAGCCCAGCCACATCACTTCCTCGTCACTGCCTGTCTATACAGACCTCCAGGTCTCTATGGTTGGTACTGGGATTAAAGGTATGTGTCACCACACTTGGCTGTGTCCTTGGCCACACAGAGACTCTGCCTGCCATGTGATCGGATAAAGGGTGTGTGCTACCACCGCCTGACTTCTGTTTATGGCTGGCTATGACCTCTGATCTCCAGGCAAACTTTATTTATTAACATACAAATAAAGTATCACATTTCAGCACAAATAAAATATCACCACAATACAGGTCTAGTTTCATTCCTCTATATGTGCGACATCCAGTTTTCCCAGCACCATTTGTTGAAGGTGCTATCTTTTCTCAAGTGTTTGTTTTTTCCATCTTTGTTGAAAATTAGATAGCAGTAGTTATGTGTGTTCATATTTAAGTCTTTGATTTTGTTTCATTGGTCTGCATGTCTGTGTTTGTGCCAGTACCATATTGTTTTTATTACTATGGCTCTGTAATATATCCTGAATCTGTAACAGTGATCCCTCTGGTGGTGTTCCGTTTGCCCGCGATCATTTTGGCTATTTGCGGTCTCCTGTGGTTCCGTAAGAATTTTAGGATAGTTTTTCTATTCTGTGGATAGTTAGATGGGGATTTTGATTAGTATTGCATTGAGTCTATGAATTGCTTTTGGTAAAATGGTCATTTCACAATATTAATTTTACCAATCCAAGAGCATGGGATGTCTTTCCATTTTCTAGTCTCTGTCTCTCTCTGTCTCTGTCTCTCTCTGAGACTTACAGTTTTTGTTGTAGAACACTTTCGCCTCCTTGGTGAGGTTTATTCCTAGATATATTCTTTGGAGTCTGTAATAAATGGGAATGTGTCGTGAGCTCTTTCTCTATGTTTAGTGGTGGTGTATAGAAATGTTACAGGTTTGTGTGAGAGTTGATTATGTGTCCTCCCACATTGCTGAAATTGGAGATCATATCTAGAAGTTTGCTGGTAGAATTTTTGGCTCTCTAATGTATCGTATTATGCCATCTACAAATAGGGATAGCTGGACTTACTCTTTTTCTGTTTGTACCCCTTTAATTTTCTTCTCTTGTTTGCTCCATCAGTGCTTCAAACACAATGCAGAGACGGAATGGGAGAGTGGACAGCACTGTCATGCTCATGATCTCAGTGGGATTGCTTCAGGTTCTTCTCCGTTTAGGATGATGCTGGCTGTCAATTCCTCATAGATAGCTTTTATTATGTTGAGAAGTGTTCCCAATGGTTCCATATTATCTCGGACTTTTATCATGAAGGCGTGCTTGATGTTGTCAGAGACTTTCTGAATCTATCGAGATGATCATGTGATTTTTATCTTGAAGTCCATACATGTGATTTATTACATTTGTTGACTTGTGTGTCTTTCCTGGTGTTGTGTATTTTGTATTCTCTGTGATTTTTATGTCTGTATGGATGTATCTTTACTCAAGTTTAGGGAAGTTTTCCCCTAGGATCTTATGAAGATCTAGTCTATGCCATTGAACTGAGGTTCTTATGCCTCATCTATTCCTATAATTTGAGTATTTGATCTTTTCATGGTGTTCCATATTTCCTGCATGTTCCTTTCCTGTTTTCTTTTAAATCTTCATATGCTTTTTTATTTCTTTTATTTTTTGACATTATAATTACATCATTTCCCCTTCCCTCTCTCCCAACCCTTCCATGTCTCTCCTTGTTCTTCAAATTAATGAACTTTTTCATTAATTATTGTTAAATACATATAATATATATTTTTTCTAAATACATAAATACAACCTTCCCAGTCTATACAATGTCACTTGTATGTATGTTTTCAAATCCTTGGCTGTTTTCATCTCAGCCTTACGCTTGTGTTTTCTTCAGGATCACTCACACATTTAGCCTCCTTGAGATCATTGAGCTGTTTTTTGTGTCTTATTTCAGCTTCTTGAATCTTTGGTGGTGCTTATGAATCTTCCTTTAAATTCTGTGTTCAGGGTTCTAGGTAATTCTCTTTGAATTCTCCTATAGGACTTGGGGGTTAGGGTAGGGGGATGCAGCAATGATCTTTCATACCTTTCTTGTTCATATTTTTATGTTAAGATCTGAGTATGTGGACCTTATGTGTCTTATATGAACACTGAAGATTGGGGAGAAATCTAAGGTTGTATAAGGCTTATCTGGAATGAAGTCAGGTGCACACGGGGCTGGCATGAAGGGTGTGCATCCTGGTCCAAGCTTGGAATTTTAGGTTCGATCTGGAGTTTCTGTTTTGGAAGAATGAATAATGATGATGATGATGATGATGATGATAATGATAAATTCTTTTTACAAAGGTAGCGAGAGAAACTTGTATCTTTGTAAATATGAAGGCTAGGTTCAAGTAAAGTAGGAGAGCTGCATTGGCAGAGTGTCATAACAAAACATGGTCAATATAAGAGCACACCATCATCCTCATCTATAGCTTTACCAAAATCAAGACCAGCATCATTTTACCATTTATAAATATAACAAGTAAATTTTAAAATACCTCAGGAAATTAACCATATCTAAACATTAAATATGTAAGAAATCTAAATGTATAGTCCCTCCCCCCAGGCTGGTCTTGCTGTCTTCTTCCAGTTAGTGAAATCCTCTCTTTCCTGAATCTTCTAGGAGTTTACTGTGGAAAAACTCTGTAATCAATTCTGAAAATCTCATTATTGTGTTTAAATATCTCTTATTACACGGTTTGTCTCCCTTTTAGTAGGTTTTTTTTTTTTACTTAATTTCCCTTTATTATGTTTATAAAGAGATGATAGTTGTTTTCCAACAGGGTGAGCAGAAGTTCAGAAGAACTAATGGAAGTGTCTTAGGCTATACAAGCCAAACACTTTGTTCAATTCTGACTCTTTATTAGCATTGGTTATTTATCTGATCACCCATTTAGAAGACTGAATATTATAGGCATGCATACACATGAAATAAAATAATCAAAAAATAAAAAACAAGGTGGGTTGTGCCTGAGGAACAATAACAAACTTTCACTTTGATCTCTACATATACAGACATGTACACGTGCACACACACACACACACACATACACAATACATATTTTTTAAAAAACCTTAAGTGAGCAAAGATGGACATACATATAATTTCAAAACTCAGGAGGCTGAGGCAGGAGATTTTCAAGGCCAAGACCAGTGTGAGATATGTCGTGCACCTTTTTCAAAACAAAAAAGAAATAAGTAAATGTATCGATGTAACTTCTAGCAATGGATAATAATACTTTTTGGTTTGTTTTATGACATTGGCAGGTAGCCCATGAAAATCAAACAAAGCATGAAAAATGCATGCCTATTTTGAAATGACAGTTTTATTAGTCTGTTACTAAAGAGCATGTAATTTGGATTAAGGATAATAACCTAAAGGACATGTCTCCTATTTCAGGGTCTCAAGGTGCTTCCTATGCCTGTTTTGAAAAAGTTAATTCACCACGTGAAAAACTGGAAAACTGTGGTTTTAAAAATTCATACCCATTACCTTGTGGACAAAAGTATGTATATAGAGCGTCATAGTTTTTCTGAGGCATGTTGCTTGCCAAGAGACATATACTAAATAAAAACGACTATCAAATTGTATGATAGGAAAATATTCTAATGTGTGCATGAGCACACTCATGTGTGCACACATGTGTAATCTTGTAGCCATTCAGGGTTTTCATTTTCTTTGAGGTTTTTTCCTGTCACCACCCTAAGAATTTGACTGAATGACAAATGGGATGATATTTATTAAGAGGAGCTACCCAACATTCAGAAATAGGGTGCTCTGTTCTGAAATAAGAATTGAAATCGGGTCATGTTTTAAGTCTGTCTATCATTGCAGGTTTCCTAGAGCAGGTATTTTGTTTTTTTACAGCATAAGATTGTTGAGAGGAAAGAAATTTTTGTCTGGCCTGTTGTTTCCAAAACGACAGAGCACGTCTCTGTGGCTTGACTTGAACTACTGTAATATGCTTTATTTTAGCATAAAACAGCTCCTGGGTCCAATATCGGGAGGGATTGCCTTGAATTTCACGTGGGAATTTTTTTAAAAGTCACAAAGGGGCTGGGAAAATTCCAGCTCAGTCAGCAAAGTGCTCGCTTGAGTTGGATTCACAGAACTCACGGCAGGGAAGCCGAGATGCCGTGGTAGACATGAGGGTCTCGGTGCTGGGAAGATATAGAAGACAGATCCCCAGGACTCTGTAGCGCCCCCCCCCCCAGCCTAGCTTTCCTGCTGAGCCTGAGGCTGTGAGAAACGAAATGTAAAGGGGACTAGCGCTTGAAGACTGATACCCAGTGCCATCTCCAGGTCTCCATGTACATGTACACATGCACACATGAGCACTAGGTACACACGGATTTGAGTAACAAATGTGTGGTGAGATTCTGCGTGGTATAATAATGTATCTAATAAGATAGCGGCCCACAATCAAGAGATACTGACCGAATAAGTGGTTTTCTGCCCTTGAGAAACATCAGGTGACAGGTCCAGACTGGCCAAAGTGACCATGGAGACCTGTGATAGGAAAGAAAGTCCCCTGTACCCCTGTGAGTTCATGTGTACATACACGTGTATATACATTTCAGTCCTGCCACAGTGCTAATTGATCTGTTTGCATTTAGCTGTTTATGTTTTTAAAAATCTTATCAACTCATAAAACAATGTTGCTACTGCGTGGTTTTTCTGGTTTTATGCCATTAACCGAACATTTATGCCACTCTCCACACAATACTTAATGGGAAGCTGGGATCACTGAGAAGTAAAATGATGAATAATTTTCTCCTTTTCATGTCCAGGGATGTTCTCTGTGGAAAACTAACTTGTTTTCGGCCACACAAGAATTACAAAAGCACAGCCCAATCCGTGATATATTCGTACGTCCATGACAGTGTGTGTCTGTCCATTCCTCCTGGGTTATCTATGAGATCAGATGGGAGAGATTATGCGTATGTGGCTGATGGCACTGTATGTGGGCCACAAATGGTAAGAGGCCGCGGATTATATTTAGCTATATTAATTTACATTAATTGCCACATGCCATGTTCCATGACGGCGATCATGATTTGAACCTGATGCTTGTGTTCATTTCCTATATACATGGTATTAAATGACTATCAAAGCAAACCTCAGTTAGCATGTTGCATTGCCTCTTCTCAGTCCCTATGTGGAAAAAAATGTGGGTTTATTTGTTTGTTTGTTTGTTTCGAGACAGGGTTTCTCTGTGTAGCCCTGGCTGTCCTGGAACTCACTCTGTAGACCAGGCTGGCCTCGAACTCAGAGATCCATCTGTCTCTGCCTCCCAAGTGCTGGGATTAAAGGCGTGTGCCACCACCACCCAGCTAAAAAGTATGTGTTTTTAACATGAGTCTACTAACCACCAAGTGCTATTATGTTCAGACCTAATAATTTCCAATAGTAAAATTCTGAGTTTTCATTTTACCTTGCTTCACTGCAAGCCATACTCATATTAATTAAATCGTGTGCTTATGTATCTGATCAGAGGGTACGTGTAAATAGTTTAGAAGAGCCAAAGCTGTACTAGGAAAGCATGGCTAATGGCTATTGCACAGAGACAAGCTCATGTATATGCATATCTGTACATGCAAATGTACACGGATATGCAAATTACACTCATGTAGCCATCACTCAGAGAGAGAACTAAAGTTCAGAGTTCATCAATCTAGGAGATGATGGGACCCAGCTTTGAAAGCACACCAATAGCAGCCCTTTGAGGTTGAAAGTAGCGATCATAAACCCTTTAGCTGCAGGACTGTGTGACCTTCAGCATTTACTTGGAGATTACAGAGCCAATTCTTTACTGAAAGACCCGAAGTTCCTGAACCCTGGAGAAGCTTACCCGTACTGAGGAACCCAGATCCTGGGGCTGGCTGCCTTGTGTGGCCAAGTTCTTCATGAGCTACATCTAAGAGCTTGCTTCTCACAAATAGAAGAAAGAGAAGGTTGGAATAACTAGGAAAAGTGGGGCATGGTGGACCTGGCCTGTCTCTCTTATCTTAGAATATTTTGGGGTTGTGAGCTATAATCATGGAGAAGCCTACAGTTCTGAGCCTGTGAAGATGCACACAGCCCCTACTCAGATGACAAGGGAGGAACAGATCGCCATCCCCAAATAGATGAGTAAGTCATTGAGAAAGGTGTGTCATTCAGCTCAGACCTTCTGAGAGGACAGTAGCCCCAGATACCTTGATCAGAGTTCCACACAAGGTTATGAGGTAGGAGCTCCAGGAACTGAGCCCTAACCCATGCCAGGCAGAGTGCCCTGACTCCATGTCTGCCAGGACAGCATGCCAGATTTGCTCATCATGTAAATGGGAACAGATGAACTTCCACAAGTGCCAAGCATGATGACCTTGTGAATGCACAATCTGACAAAAAAAAAAAAAAGTCCCTAGAAGTGGTGGTTGTTAGCTTGTAAAAGGTAGTGCCTTGCTCCTGGGCAGGGCCACAGGTGGCTCTGCCTGGCAGGGAGGATAGTCTTTCAAGTCCAAGCCCTGAACCTGTCTCTTTCTTCCTTCTTAGCTAAATTTATTTTAAAGTAAATATTAAGTATTATTCTTATTAAAAGACAATAACTTTAAATATCTTTACTGGATTGTTAATTGGTAGAAATGTAACTGATTTTTTCAAGTTAACATGTTATCCTAAAACCTTGCTGAATTCACTGATTAGATGTATCAAGTTTGTGTGTGTGTATGTGTGTGTGTGTGTGTGTGTGTGTGTGTGTGTGTTTGCCTGTGCATCTCTATGTAATCTGTAAGTTTGTGTGTCTTTGCACAGGCATCTGTGTAGTTTGCCAGTCTGTGTGTGTTTACTTATAGATCTGTGCATTCTGCCACTCCATATGTGTTCCCATGCTCATCTGTATGTAGTGTGATAGTCTGAGTGTTTACACAAGTATCTGTATGTCGTTCATCAGTCTGTGTGTGTTTGCACATTCATCTGTGTGTAGTGTGGTAGTCTGTGTGTTTACACAAGTATCTGTATGTCGTTCATCAGTCTGTGTGTGTTTTCATGGGCGTCTGTGAATAGTCTATCAATCTGTGTGCGCTTGGATGGCATCCACGTGCAGTCTGCAAGTTGGTGTGTGTTTGCAAAGGCAGCATGGTGAGAACTCTGTGTTCTTGTTGATGAAGCTGTGGGCAGTCTGTCATCAGCCTATGTGTGTTTGTCTGGCCATTTAGTGTACAGTCTGTCAGTCAGTCTATGTGTATGTTTTGGGGCATGTATGTGCAGTATGTCAGCCTGGGAGTGTTTGCATAGCCATCTGTGTGTTGTCTGTCAGCCTGTGTGTATTTGAATATATATCTGTGTGCAGTCCACAAGTCTGTGTGTGATTACACAGCCATCTGTCTGTAGTCTGTCAGTCTGTGTGTGTTGGCATGGGCATCTCTGTGGAGTCTCTCTATGTATATTGGAGATCACGTACATGTCTAAGCATGTCATCTACAAACAAATAATTTTGCTACTTCCTTTATGATTTGGATATCTTTTAGTCCTTTTTAATATCTACATTGCTCCAGCCAGAATACTTAATATTACATTGAATATTGAATGTAAGGATCAAAGGAAGGCTAGTATATACAATTTATGATTTGTTTATTGGTTACATGTTAATTTTGGATAAATAATTACAAGGAGCTCATTTTCATCCACATTTGACATATTCATATGGTGAATTACTTAATTACACCTTGTGTCAACAATTGAAAAAATAAATTACAAAGCCAAATAAAAGAGAAAAATGTAAATGAGACCAAAATAACCACATACCCAGATTACCAATTACCATTTGATTGCTGCTTTGAATGACAAGTTGTGACAATGGCCAAGAAAACCAAGTTTAAACTATTTCTCTCGCCCTATAATTCTGATATACGCCACCACAAAGATCCAAAACAATTTATGAATTGTATTTGAGACAAAAGAAAAATTATTCTCCAGCCTTAAGGGGACAATTTTGACTTCTATCCAATTATCCATAACAAATATTAACAGTGTAGGAAATGCAGTTGGATTTCAGTTAGTTCCAACTGTAGGGATCAAAATTCAAACCACATGTAGTCCCCGTCTGCAGACAGGCTCTTCCTACTTCGATACCATTGCTGTTGAGGGGGTTATTTTAGAAAGCCAGAATATTTGTATTAGAATCAAAGCAAAATGGGTAAGCAGGCCTTGAACCTCTTTTATATCTAACATAACATAACGTAACGTAACGTAACGTAACGTAACGTAATGTAACATAACATAACAACATAATATAGGTAACAAATAGTGGGGTTTTTTTCCCATTTGACATGACATTTGTGACCATGAAACATCCTATGTTTCATTTTAGTATTGCGTCAACAGAACCTGCAAAGAAGTTACTTTAACAAGAATTGACTGCAATGCCACTAAGAAGTGCAAAGGGAATGGGGTAAGTGACCCCTCTTCAGTAGTCCAGTCCCCCCCTGCAGGCGACTGTGGGGCGATCCCAGTCCCCTGCTTTGGAGAACTGATGGATGGCTAGCAAGCTCTTAAATGATGTGCCCATGCCCGGTAGATGAAAATGAGAAAGTCAGATGAGCTACTTCAACACTATTGAGCGAATTGCATGTTTTACTGATTTTAGGAACATTGTTAATTTCTCTCAATCATTTGTCTGTTTTAATCTAGTAATGGAGAATTTCTGTTGCCTAGCCACTGCTTTTTATTTTCTTGACATTTACAGGTTTGGGGTGAGAAGGGTCTTTGTTTTGTTATTTTCTTAGAAGGAAACTGGAATATAAAATAATAAACAAACAAACAAATAAATAAATAAATAAATAAATAAACGAATGAATGAATGAATGAATACAAATCAAAAGAATGGACTTGGATTTTTGCAAATTCATCTGCATTCAATCTTAACTTCTGAATTTACTAGATTTGGAACATGTGGAAGGGTGAGCAGGGAGGAGGAGCCTCTCGCTTCACATCTGCTCTCTGTAGTTGTGATCGTTGACCAGTTCTGTGGCTTTCCTCTCTTCGATCTTCCTCTCAGTATTTCATTCTTAATACTTTTAATAAAGCAGAAAATAGTGATATATATATATATATATATATATATAGAGAGAGAGAGAGAGAGAGAGAGAGAGTTAAGTTTTTGATCTTCTGCTTTATTAGACACACTTTTTAAAAACAGATTGCTGTTTAATTATTTTACCTTGACATTTTGGATTTTTCATTCAATAAAACTTTTCCATTCATGATTATTTGTATTTCTCTATATGTATTGTGCTTCCAACAAAATATTTTTAAAGGGAAACTAACTTATGTGGCTCTACTATTGGACTTCCTTTCCTGTTCTTTGGGTTTAATTTTCTATTTCTTTATCAATGCCATATTTTTACGATTTCTGTAGCTTTTTTGGTTCATAAAATGATCATAAAACAAAGCTATTCATCTTAGCTCTTCATCAACAATGAAAAGCATTCCTTGTTCTAGACCTTTTTTCTTTAAATACATAATTTAGCTTGACAGATCTGTGTATCTGATTCATGAAATAACTTACCTGAGACTTGGGTTAGGGTTGTGCTGAATCTTTGTATCATGTAGGTAAGATCCAACATCCTAATAGCATGCCATATGTGTGGACTATCTCTCCATTTCTATACATTAAGAAATTTTTATTTGAGACAGGGTTTCTGTGTAGCACTGATTGTTCTGAAACTCACTCTGTAGATCAGGCTGGCCTTGAACTCAGAGAGATCTGCCTGCCTCTACCTCTGGAGTGCTGGGATTGAAACATGTGCCACCACTGCCTTGCTAAAAAAATTTGTCTAATCTAATTTTTACAGTTTTCTTAGCATAAATCATGTTTATAAATAACTGCATTCATAAGGAAATGTGCCACTTTACCTGTGTAAATGGCATTATATTTTTAGTTCCAAATTCTTATTGCCCATTACTATAAGCAATTGACATATAGCTAAAGTTTGCATCAGACAGCCTTGAAACACAGTATTATCTTTCTCAATTTACATGTGTTTTTTTCCTCTTCTTGTCTTGCTGCATTTTCTATGATTTTTGGTGCAGTGTTGTAAAGTGGAAGGGTGTCCTCTGTGATGCTTAGCTGCTGCTTTCTCACCGGTAATGGGGTACATTTTGTTTGCTTCATTTTGTGGATTTTTTTAATTATGAGGAATTTACTGCTTAGTCTTGATTTTCTAAGAGTGCCTATTGTATATGGTACTGTATTTATCAAAGTATCTCTCTTTATTAATACAATCACATGACTTTTTTCTTGCTTAGTTCATGAATATAATTCCTTACATGAATTTGTTTTTAACTTAAAACATATCTAAATACCATCAATAAATGCTGTTTGATTGTGAAGTGTTGAATTTACAAGTATTTTTGAGGATTTTTCTACTATGTTTTTAGTAACATGGGCCTGTAGCCTTTCTTTCCTGTTACATGGTGTATGACCTGGGAACTAAGGTAATGCTAGCCTGATAGGATGATTTGGAAGGATTTCTTTCCTTTCTATTTTTATAGATTATAGATAAATTGATTTCTTGTAGACATGTGGTCTAATTCATGAGAGAATAAATCTGGGCTTAGAGCTTCGTATTTTGAAAGTAAATATTCATGTCATTTTGTTACTCGATATGGAAGTGTTCATATTATGTGTTTCTATTCATGTGCATTTTCATGGATTTTCTTTTAGGGAATTAAGCCTTTTCTCCTAGATCATCAATTCTCGAACATGTAATTTTTCATACATCTTATTTATTATCCTTTTATTACCCATAGTTCCATACTGATGGCTGGAGACTAAACATGTTTGTTTGTTTTCTTTGAGACAGGGTCTCTCTGTAGCCCAGGCTGGCTTTGAGCTCCGAGTGTAGCTGAGGTTGACCCCAAGTGTGTGGTCCTCCTGCCATACCCTCCCTAGTGCTGAGTGGCAAGTGTGGCTCCCATGGCCAGGAACAGTTCCATCCACAGCTGGGCATTCCTTACCATCCACCTCTGGGGAGCAGGCAAGCACAACAGCAATTGTTTGGAGAGTCTGTTGGAGAGCTTGTTAGGGTGTTTTTATCACAGCAACTGAAAGGGGGTTAGAACATGCGCTTCTATATGAGTTTCTAGTGTGTCTCTTCTTGGTGTATTTTTGCTTGCATTTGCCAGTAGAAGTATTGATCTGTTTCTTGATTCTTTTAATTTATTGTGATCCCCTCTGTAAATGGAACTTTTTCCAGTGTTGCCTTGCATCTGCTAATAAAATAATCACTCAGAGGCTTAATATTAATTACAAACTGTTTGGCCAATGGCTCCAGCTTATGCTAGCTAGCTCTTTCAACTTCATTCAACCCATTCCTATTAATCTATGTATCTCCACGTGTTCTGTGGCTTCGCGTGTGCTGCATTGCATCTTTCTTCCTTGGGCATCTCTCAGCGTCTCCTCTGACTCCTTCCTTCTCTCTGTACCTCTGCTTGGGTTTCCCACCTGCCTCTAAGCTGCCCTGCCATAGGCCAAAGCAGCTTTATTTATTAACCAGTGGAATCAGCACATATTCACAGCATACAGAAAGACATCCCCCAGCACCTCTCCTCTTTTCATTTTAATAGAATTGTTATTGGATGTATCATAAACTAGTTACTACTTGTATTTCCTTTATTCATTTCCTTTCACTTTAGACTGAATGATTTTTAAATTTCTTCTTTTTCTGTACTTTATACAAAGGGAGTTATTGATGATAATACAAGTTAATTTTTAATAGACATTTGTTCCTAAACTTTATTCTTTCATGCCACAAACTCAGATAGAAGCTTTCTTTCCTCATGCACAACTATGTCTTGACATTTTTATATTTTTGCATGTTCCACATAGCCTTGACCTCTACTTTCTATGTTTTGTTTGGTTCAGGGGACCTTAAGGTCTCCTATATTATAAAGGATACTATGCATTATGTCAAGTTTATTTCATAAGAGTCATTTCATCTCAAGGAAAATCATATTTTCTATTTCACAACAAAGGTTCTGTCATGAGAACTGTCTCCTTTTTTGAGAGAGGTGGGATTTTGTAATACCACCTTGTTAAAAGTCTAGATGGAAAAATATATTTTGAGAGATACATGTATCTCTTCTTTCCCAGCAGGACTGAAGGAAACAGGCAAAATAAGAGATTTCGAGGATTTGGGGGGAAGGAAGCTAATACTCCCTTAGAAATAATCAGATCATTTATTTAGAAGTGAAATCTGTATCTCTTCTAAAAAAGAAGAGGACTCTGGCTTCCTCAGTGGACTCTGTCTTCCTCAGTGGACTCTGGCTTGCTCAGTGGACTCTGGCTTCCTCAGTGGACTCTGGCTTCCTCAATGGACTCTGACTTCCTCAGTGGAGACTGCTTCCTTCCTTTTATACTACTCAGAATCTTAGGGGATTGTTAAATGTGTGGTCTGAAATGCTTTCTCTTCAAAAAAGGATGTAGAACACCATGTAGAATACAAATGTAGAACATTTAGTATTGGTCTGCTGTAGCTGACTCTGTCAAGGTTACTAAAAATACAATGATAAGAGCTGGTGCCCAACTAGAAAGTCACTCCTAGTGACTTTCATGTTGCTGGAAGGTACTCTGCATGCTGGAGGAGAAAGAGAATCATCGATTTGCCCAGACACAAACCCTGTGACCTACAACAATGACCTGCCTGAGTGAAATGCTGTATTGGTACAGTAGCATCACAAATATTATGGGAGTAACCAACCACTTTCTGATTGGATTTAAGGCCTACTCCATGAGATGGAACCCATCCCTGACAAAAGTAGCCAAGAACCTGAGACTAGATAAGTCATGGGCCTAGGGGAAAACCCACTATTATTCTTCTGCTAAATGAACATAGCAATAACCAAAGGATTCCTAATGAGGTAATGATATACCCACAGATCAGTACCTCACTCAGCCCTTATCAGAGAAGCTTTTTCTTGCAGAAAGATGTAAATTAACACAGTGACCCAAAAATGTCAATGTGCAGAGAGTGGCAGACTTTGGAGCACTCAGTACTAAATAGGATGTCATCAAACCCTCCCCTAAGGCTCAGGGATCTCTGAGGAAGAGGAAGCAGAAAGACCGTAAGAGGTAGAGGCGGTGGATGACTCCAAGGGAAGGGGTTTTCCAGACAGAAAACAACCGATGCACTATGAGCTCACAGCACAGGTTCAAGCCAGATGGGTCCCAGCACTGAGAGGGGGAGGTGAACACAGGGCCCCACCCCTAACCGAGAAGCTATCTGCAATGAATCCCTGCTGGTAAAAGGAAAATCTGTTTTCTTCAACAGAGTGACACTGGATATATCAACTACACCACCACGCAGGCCCATGCAGTTGGCCAACACAAAAGAAACGCCAAGTTTTGGGTTTTGTCAGGGTGGGGTGGGCTTTTTGTTTTGTTTTGGCATTTTTCTCTCATTGTTTTCTCGTTTGTTTTGATTTTTGTTTTTTTATTCTTTTGAGAGAAGGGGAGGGAGGAGAGAGCATGAAGTTGCTTGGGTAAGATCTGAGAGGGTTGAAGGGAAGGAATAAATATAATCAAAATATATTGTATGAAAAAAATTAATAATTTTTTAAAAAGGAGAACACACAAAAAACCCTCCTTTAAAAGTATGGCTAGAATTTTGTCATAATAAAAAATACTTTAAAATTAAATCTTTTTTTAAAGCTAGTATTTAGAGGCTGGGGAGCCGACTCAGCAGGGAAGATTTGTTGCTCTTGTAGATGACCCGAGTTCAGTTCCTCAGTCATGATGAATGACTCACAACGTCCTGTAACTCGAGCTCCAGGAGAGGGGATCCGAAAGCTCTGGTCTACATGGACACCTTTGTTCATGTGCACATACTCACATGCAATTAAAAACAATAAACATCTTTTGAAAAGACAAACAATATTTGTGAAAATTATTCATCACTGTGAACATAAAGATCATGTGCCGGTTGGTTTGGCTTTTTGTTCTGTTTTGTTGTTGTTTGTTTATCTGTCTGTCAACTCCTTGAGTCGTCTGGGAAGAGGGAACCTGAATGGAGAAAACCCCTCCATCAGATCGTCCTATGGACAAATCAGTGGTGCATATTCTTGACTAATGATTGATGTGTAGGGCTCTGCCCACTGTGGGCGGTGCCATCCTCTGGGCAGGTGGTCTTGGGTTATATAAGACAAGTAACAGAGGAAACCGCCAGAGAACAAGCCAGTAAGCAGTGGCCTCTGCCTGAGTCCCTACCTCTAGGTTCCAGCCTTGAGCTCCTGCTGACAGGGATGAACTGTTAGCTGCAAGTGTAAGCTGGAATAAACCCTTTCCTTCCCAAGATGATTTTGGCCATGGTGTTTATCACAGCAAAAAAACAAAACAAAACAAACAAACAAAAAAAAAACACAGACTGGCAGGTCATAACTTTATTGCATCCCCTTTTTAGAAGATCACTGGAAAAGAAAAAAAAAAATCACTAATTAAAAATAGGTACGCCGGGCGGTGGTGGCGCACGCCTTTAATCCCAGCACTCGGGAGGCAGAGGCAGGCGGATCTCTGTGAGTTTGAGGCCAGCCTGGGCTACCAAGTGAGTTCCAGGAAAGGCACAAAGCTACACAGAGAAACCCTGTCTCGAAAAACCAAAAAAAAAAAAAAAAAAGGCAATAGGAAATAGAATATATTTTCACATTGTGGTGATTTTACCCTTTGATTATGCCACCAAAGTTTTAATTTTTTAATGCATTTCTCAAATTGTATGACCACAAAAACCTTAAAAATAGTCTATGTATTTCAGTCCTATATATCAGAATTACTTACTAAGACGATTCAAAATGACTGCATGTTTTTCTGTTTTAGATATGTAATAACTTTGGTAATTGCCAATGCTTTCCTGACTACAGGCCTCCAGACTGTAACTTACAGATTGGATCGCCCGGGGGCAGCATCGACGATGGAAACATTATCAGAGCTGGTCAGTACAAAGAAAACCCCAAAGCTGAGTAGTATGTTGTTGTCTGGTTTATTAATTGAAGACAGACATCTTTGTCAACGCTTTCCCAGGCCAGTTACAAATAAGTTAATTTGGTGCCCTGTTTGTAATGAGTTTTCTCAGAGGGAGTCAACTCTAACCAACTTGGTGACGTCACCTAAAATAGAATGGTACTCTCAAGTTTCAATAAATGTCACTAAGTAAGTTTTTAAAAGTCATATATAGAATAATGAAAAGCATATACATGGTTCATATCTCATATTATTAAAACAGAAAATTATTGAAAAGCAACTCTGTGATGCACTGTTCATTCTGAGTGCAACTTGGAAAAATATACAGCAAAATGTGTGTTCCTACCAGGAAATAATAGTAAGTCACATTCTGAATATATGCTCGTATTTTCCCTCGTTCCTATGGTGAATAAAAGCCATATCATAAGCTACTCGCTGGTTCAATCCTTCATCCCTTCATATGTTTCCCTCTGTGAGCATGTCATCAGGTATTTGGAGAAGAAATAACATTGAGATCCATGTTTTAGAAAGTCTCCATAATGAGTAACATAGAAGTTTCACAATGAAAATATATTACCGAACAAGCAATGGTGTTAGCTTTATTGGCCTGAAGTAGATATATAAATGGACACTGGATAAATTGTTTCAGATATCAAGTATTTGAAAATGACAGCGACTGAAACATGGTTGTGAATTAATACCTAACACATGAAACAAGGGGTTCAAGGATTCTGTACACATTTTTACAAGAAAGTCAAGGGTTGAACAGAGCATGGATATAACCTATTTAATTTGTACAGTGAGAGCTGGGTGAGATGGCACAGGACTGTAATCTCCACACAGGAATCTGCAGCAGGAGGAGCGCTACAAGTTTGAGGTTAGCCTGGGCTAAAGTGAAAGAGCTGGTCTGGCTTGAGTTGGCACAGGCCTTGTACGTACTATTAAAATCTCTTTAGTGCATATTTGTCCTATTGTGTCTGTAGTCACCCACCACCTCTGGGTCTCATCATCATTCTACCCATTTTTCTGCAATGAACCTTGAGCCTGGGTGGGGGAGGGGTGTGATGTGGCTGTCTCATTGGTGGATGAACGTTCTGTCGTCTCTTGTGTTTGCATCTTGTATGGGTCTCTGTTAACCATCATCTACTGCAAAAAGAAGCTTCTCTGATGGGGATTGAAGGATATACCAAATCTATGGGAATGATGGCTAAGAATCAGTTTAATATTATCTAGATGTAGCAGAATAATAAAATATGTTTAATAAATAATAAAAAGATTTAAAATTTTTCTCAGTGTTTAGTTCCTCAAAGATTTTGAACAATGTGTTTGACCATGTTCACCACCCTCCCTCAGCTCTTCCTAGCTCCACCCATTTCCCTACCCATCCAACTTTGGGTTCTCTCTTTTTTTTAAATCCCAATAGTGGTGGGTTTTTCTCGAGGGCCTATGACGATTTTAGGCACAGTTTCTTGTCAGGCCAGCCATTGTTGTAGCGTTCATGGTTCACAGATGGGGAGGACTTGTGATGACTTCTCTTTTCCGGTAGTCTACACAGCACTCTCCAGCTCTGTGAAAGCCATCCAGTAGACACGAAGCATCTAGGTAGTGACAGATTGATATTTTTATGTCCTATGATTCAAGTGTGTGGTGTCTTCAGCAACAGGGTCTCACCATCTCATTTTAGGGGGTAACGAAGAGTATTGGCTAGAACCCCTAATGTTTTGGGAGCTATGAGACATTGGTCCAAAACTCCGTTGCTGATACTGGTCTTTTTGTTAGCCTCTGGTGTCTAGTAGGTGCTTTGTCACCCTGTTATTGCACACATCCATCAAAGTTTTGTTCTATGTGTATGTATATGTTCTAGGAAGCCACTATAGCAGTAGATTTCCACATGACTCTTTACAAATGTCCTTAGTCCTGGTTGTCTGTCCCTGTATCCCCCCCCCCCACACTCCCTACCCCACTGTAACCCTTCTTGTTGGGTTATTCCCTTTTAACCCACTACACCTCTGTTTTATCTCCTCCCCTTTAAAAGACCCTCCTCCCATGTCCCTTTACTAATTTTCTGACCTCTATGACTATTCCAAACGAAACACACATATCTGAAGAGCCAAAGCTAATACCCACAAATGGGAGAAAACTATAATGTTTGTCTTTCTGGGTCAGGGTTACCTCACTCAGAACGATTTGTTCCAGTTCCATCCACTAACCTGTGGATTTCATTTTTCTTAACATCTGGATAATATTCCATTGTGTAAATGTGCCACATTTTCATTATCCATACACCAGCAAATGGACATTTAGGCTATTTTCATTTGCTAGATGTTATGAATAGAATAATAATGAATATGGATGATCAGGTATATATAATAAGATATAGAGTCATTGGGTAGATGCCCAAGAGTGGTAGAGCTGGCTGATTTCCATAGTGGCCACATAACTTTGCCCTCACATCAGTAGTGAATAAATATTGCCCGTATATCCACATCGCATTTGTCACCATTTTGGGGGAGGGGGGTTTGCTTTTTTTTTCTTAGCCATTTTGGCTGGGATAATATGAAATCACAAAGTAGTTTTAATTTATATTTCCCCAATAGCTACGGATGTTGAACATTTTAAAAACTGTTTCTTAGTCATTTGCGTTTAATCTTTTGAGAAATCTGTTTGGTTCCATGCTCCACTTTTTTTTTTTTTTTTTTTTTTTTTTTTTTTTTTTTTTTTTTTTTTTTTTTT